TCTACGTGGCGATCCCCAAGGTGTCGATCAAAAGCCTCCAAGGGTGGAACGTCGCCAACCTCTTGGATCGCTTTCATCAGCGCATGCACTGTACCTACGGAACCCATCTTTCGACTCCACCGCGTGAGGACTTGATATGCCCTTTCTTCTTCAGACTGGTTTTCTGCCTGAATGGTCTCAATGACTGTGTCTGGTACCGAGAGACTTCTCCCAAGCCAGTTCCATTTGTAGGCCAGTTCTTTAGCGACTAGAGCAAGGCAGCAAGGCTCGACAGGTTCTGAAAAAAACATCAATCACCGAAATTAAAAAAAAAGTGTTTTTTGCACGCAATTGGCAGAGGTACAATAGGTATTGCGTGATATTGTGAATTTAGATTGTAACTACATGTATGAAATTCTGTTGGGACGCAAGCAAAAGTGAAGCATACGTAGAAGAAGCTCTTGGTCTTAGTAAGGTAATTCACCTACTTGAATAACAAGGAGAGTCTTCTGGGACCTTCGAAACGGCATCTTGTGGCTAAAGGAAGAAAACAAACTTACAACACTGATCTTTAAGTATTAACAAGGAAGACTTCAACGAAGCTAGTTAGATAATCCCTTGCCTTAACAAGCCATTGTTTGATTTCTTCGAATTCATGGACCGGAGTGGAGTTACACCACATTGGCTTCGATGCAACAGCTGGGTCTATGCAGATTACATGGCGACGAACACCTTCTGTTGGGGAATCAACGTAGGACTCCCGCTCACCACACTCGGCATCATCGTTGTCATCATTATCACTTCCGTCAGAGGAGGTGTCCACTGGAAGAACTGTACCTTCACTGGATGACCCGGGGCAACGTGGGTTGGGACAAGTAGGTCCGAAACGGAACTTGAGAAATCGAAACTGGCGCTGGCAGATGTCCGTCATTATCGTCTTCAAGATGTAAAATAACTCATGAAGCTTTTTCTCATTTTTGTACCTGCAATAGAAATGAATGAAAACAGAATCACTAAAGCGGAACTTCCATTTATTTCAGCGGCTTAGATTGAAAGAAACCTTTTCCAACATAGGCAAAGTTTAGCCGAAAGCTCATCTCTCCTACGATCTGATGTTGAAACAATAAAGGTCTCCAAGAGAATGATTAAACTGATGCAAGTGAAAGTGACATAGAAGAACCAATTATGCCACCACCCTGTTAATAGTAGAAAATCGTCAATAAAATGTCTCCATAGGAGAATAACACACACAACTCTTGGAAATGATGCTGTTAAGGTGGAGACTATGAGAAATGCTTCTCCTTCTGGATGGGATATTAGTCCCTCAGAGAGTATTAGGGAATCACCTTCATCAAGTTGAAAGGTGACTTACCTGGCCTTTATTCGAATTTGGTTGTGTTTCTGACACATCTCTGTAAGGATGAAGAAACTGTCTCCAAATGAGAATATGGCCATCCCTTTAGCGATGATCGGTCTCATACCATTGCTGGACTGACTTCTTGAGCCAGTGCGAACAATAAAGTAGTGGAAGAGTGCAGGAGGCA